TAGAAATAGACGAGACTTTTATAGGTGGTAAGAATAAGAATAGGCATAGGGATAAAAAGGTTCCTAATTCCCAAGGTGAAGGTGCAAAAATTACACAAGAACAGGACCAACATTGCGCAACCCTTTTGTTAGAATTAGGAAAAATAAAGAATGAGTTAAACCAATCTGAAGCTCAACAAATAAAATATATTAATGCCATAGAAGAATATCAACGAAGAATAGATGATGAAAAATTACACAAAAACAGAACCAACACCATGCAAATCTTTTGTGAGAATTGGAAAAAATAAAGGAACTATTAAACCAATCTGAGGCTCAACAAAATAGAGTATATTAATATCATAGGAGCATCAACGAACTAAAATTACAAAATTCAATATTAATATCTAAAAATCAAGAATTGAAAGAGAAATTGAATAATACATTCAACAATCAACAAACAAGAATTGAATTTGTATATAAGAAAAATTGCTAAAAGAGAACGTAAAAATGTATATGATGGATGATGATATTATAAATTTAATGAGCGATCAGAAAAGATTTAGTTTGGATAACCTTTTAGGTTATTCAACTTTTTGAATGACTTGCTGGGCGAAATCCGGTTGTCACAGAATTCATAAAAACAGTTATATGTAATGAGAATGAAAATCAATTTGAGAGAGAAAAACTTGAAGTGTTCTGTGGCAGTGAATGCTATCTATGGAGCGAGAAATTTAAAATATTTTTCCGCCATCATATGTAATTAAGTATTTAATAGTAAAATCCCCCAAAAATACTAGATATTGATAATTATTCCTTGAGTTCTGGTAGCTTTTTCAAATTTCTCAAATTTAGCTGGAAATCCAGTGCAACTTCCTAAAGGTTTATTATTTTTGGCCTTTGATATGAACAAAAAGGCAAAAAAACTATTTAGATCGTGGTCATAACACTGTAACTATTGTGCCGTACACTGTAGCCCTTTATAGAACAGTTGATTATCAGGGCCATCTTGTTTTATTGAATTTATTTATTTTCAGCTTTTCACCAGAAATTTATTCCTAAACCTAGCTGGAATCTTTTTAATTTATCAGAGGCTGTTGCAATTAATGGCAAACAAAAATTTATTTCAAATCTTAAAATGCTACTTTTGTATGCAATACCTATGCCGGCAGATATACTAGGTGTTTTTGTCAGATTTTTGAAATTATTAAGGAAATTTCTACCTAAAAAAAATTTTTATACAATAAATAAATTATAAACAAATGTTTCTTTATACTAAAGGATATGAGAATATTTACTTACGAGAATCAAATTCTATTAAACTACCTCCATTTATAAATAAATGACCTTTAACAGGATACTTCCTTAACTTTGGTAATGGAGTGAATAAACTAACCCCGCCCGCTAAATAAATATCACCACCTAAAGAATCCTCTGGAATATTTTATAAAATATAGTCTGTATTTCGATCTATT